TTTGCCAATCATTATTGTATTGTTTTTCCGTCATCACGTTTCGTGAACAACGTGACCTGCTCTTTGAGTAGGTTCACGCAAATATTTCGCGTTTATAACCGCTTTAACCAAAGTCCTGGTTGCCTCTTTAAGTCTGCACCTCTTTAAAACCATATATATTATACTATTTGGTGGAACCCACACACTCACGTCTTCGTACATGTTTTATACGGGCCCATTCAAATGGGGGGGGGGGGCAATCAGGACAATATCTAGGTACCGCCTAAAAGAATTCTGATGGACTTGTGTGTCAGTCTGATAATATAATAGCTGGTACTTATATGATCAAGATTACTATCGGTGTTACACTCATAATTTGGGCCTAACATTGCTAAAATCGTCTTCCTTCATGAAAGTTCGATAAAACAGTTTTATATCGTTTCTATAATCAGGTAAATTATATAAACAGATTAACAGACAACGTTGTCAGCCGTTTTAAATGATAATAATGCCTATTGTCATTCATTATTGTCGTGGTGTCGAAACTAGAAGATTAATGATAAAAATGTACAAATTTCTTCGTAGAAATTCGTTACCTACTGCAAGTATCGACGCGACGAGGCAAACAGTGACTTTTGACTTTCATTCTGATTTTATAACACTGTGTCATGGTGACACCTAACATTTATTTTCCCTTGGTCCTGGAAAACTTTTGGATGTCTCTGAACTTGAACAAACGAATTTAACCATGCTGTGCATACGACGCCGACCAAATAGCATAATATGCTAATATTATTCAAACATTTACTAGGTACGTCGGTCTATTACACATTCGATCGCCTCAAAAATAATTATCTGCTGCACTTATTATATTATAAGATAGCTAGTCTTCGGTGGCCGGAATTCTTCGACTTTTTTTCCAAGAGGGAATCTTTTCTCTTTTCCCTTTTTTTTACCGACCAGGTGTTGGAGGGTATACCGCGTGTGTACTCGTACGCTGCTTTTATAAACACAAAAGGGGACACCCCCTCCGTGGCACAGCTGCGCCCGTTATAGAGAATCAGCCGGCCCGCAAAAATGTGTGTGAGAAACGAGGCTGCGACTAGCAGTACGCCCGAAATAATGTGTCTGTGATTTGTACAAAAAACAATTTAAAAAAAACGTACGTATACATTTTGTTCATCATATTATAATTTATAATACACAAAATACATGTGTGTTCGTGTGTTTCAAGCGAGTAGGATTATGAGAGATTTTTTATGTTTGATGTGTATATTATCTAAAATATCGTGGATGGTAATATTATAATAAGTACGCGTTTAGAACTAATTAACTAATTTTTAACTTGAATATTTTTTACAAGACTGGTCAAGTTAATTTGTATACCTTTACGATTATAACTATTATATTTTTTTAAATAAAATAACATAATATTAATTTAGATTGAATTTAAAAACAATAATATTATAAATCGTGTCTCATATATTTGTTGTAGGTTGGACGCTTTTCACATTTTTAGTCCAAATTTTTCGTTTCTTTTAACTATAGGTATTTAAAGTGAATCGATTATTAATTAATCATAATCTGCTTATTAAAAAATAAAAATAAAAATAAAAATATTCAAATATCGAAATTAATATTTCTCGCAACATTCTCAGTTTATGTACCAAATAATAAATACCTGATAATAGTATTAACTAATAACATTATTTTGATGATATAATAAATTTCAAATATCCAGACATTGAAACAAATATTATGACTAGAATAGCGTGATATGACAAACGTGTTTATGGAAATGGAAGATACGTATAACACGAAGGTTGCATGGTTATGGATTATGTTATGATTGCTTCACCACTGTATATACCTAAAACCACTTGCAAATCATCTTAATTACGTTTGAAAATTATCGTTGTGATATTATGTTAATATTATTTTTTTTTCATGTTATGCAATTCTCAAATAACTTGACTGGAAATTTCGTTTATAAAGTCACCGTTCACAGGTAATTTATTAAAACACGTTTCACGTTGTAACCATGCAATTTCTAATTTCGTATAAAATAGCAAAACAGTGATACACAATATAGAGTAATTTTCCAAACTTTTAATGTCGACCGGTAATTGAATTTTTAAACAAAAAAAAAGTTCACGGTGGCGTAAAGATTACGAGCCCCTTCGCGGGGGTAAATCGGTGGTCGGGGGTGTGTAGCTTCGACGGCGGGACAGGGCCGTTCAGGAACTCAAAGTTATTCGTTTCGAAATCGAGCGAAAGAGATTTAAGGCGACGGCGAGAACGGTGTTGTTTTCATTATTGCTAGTTTGCTAAGGGTGTTTATTTTTTAATTATTTTTGCCCCTGCGTTTAATTATTATGTTGGAGGGAAAAAAGAAAATTGAATTCAGTCATGCGTGTGCTGTACAAAAAAAAAACCACTCTAAAATTTTCGGTATATAAATATAATTTCTGATTGAACACGGCTGCTGAAATGAAAAAGCATTTATTGTTCCGATCGATAAATGTACGATTTGAATAATAATAATAGCAGTTATAATACCTCGTTGAAAAAAACTGACTTAGATGAACAATGCTGTAATAATATTACGTTTGATAGATTAAATAACCTATAAAATTAATAATGAATAAAATATAATATACATTTATTGTATTATAGTAATCGAAGGAATAAATAATGGGTTCAATTACGGACTACTACGGTATGTCGGTGGCAGCTGACTGTGTTCCATGCCAAAAAATTAGATAGAGTAGATTTTTTTATTTATATTATTACAAAATAATTTATACTAAGGGGTCGTGAGCGGTAAATCACTCACTGTCTTTGTCGTCGTCGTGCATACCTATAGTATTTCCAAAAGTCTAGTATTACTCTAAGTACATCCCAGTGGAAAATCAATAAACGTTAAAAGTGAGTTTTTTTAAACAATTTTAAAATAATTATTAAAACCAAAGTTGTTGGTATTCGAAATATTTATAACCGTTGGTGAAAATAATTATTTATTACTAAAGTATAAAAACAAATATGTAGGAATATGATGAACTAAAAACGAAAATTGAATAACTTTAAATTGTATTTGAAATTTTTACTAATAGGTAGATCTATTATTACGGATTATCATACACAAATAACACATATTTCATTAAATGTATACCTAATAATTAATCGCACACCCTAACTTGCTGTAATCTCCTGCTCTAACTCGGGCAATTCCTGATCAAATTTTATAATTTTTATTTTAAATCGTTTGACACAAATGATTATTTCAAAATGACCAAAAGTGTAAAAGAACGAAAGTAAAATTTCTCTGAATTTCGTCAAAGCATAATTTCCTTTAAATCTGGCACTATTGAAAAACCCGCATTTAAGTAGATATAATAATAATATATTGTATTCAATATTGATTTTCAAAAGAGATGCATAGGGCGGTACGTTCGACTTTTGTTGGGACAAACTGTACATTATGGTGCAGGCTCTACCATATTGATGAATATATTGTGAATGCATTTGGAGCAATCAAAGTGATCGTAAATATATACTCCCGACAGATGTTGTCGTGAGTTTAATCCGGGGTGAAACGTCGAATGCGCATGAATAATACGTGATTCTGAACAGTAGGTATATATATAATGGTATATGCCAGCATGACGGTATTAGGGATACGATATTATTGAAAGTATAATATTATACACGTAGACTGTAGACACTATATAGATATAGTGCCTACGTATATATATACATATAATAATGTATATAATGTGGTATAGAGATGGTAGCAATATTGTACGGTGTGGTATATTATTATGGTGTAATATAGTTGTATTAATAATATATTATAATATTGTATACATATATAATACCGCATAGTTATAATATCGACAGCCTGCAATCCCGGATATAATAATCCGCAGATTTGCGTATTTATTGAGTGCTCAGTTTTAGGCGTATAATTCGATAAAAACGAATTTCAAAACCGAATTATTTATTGTGCTGCAGTGCGTATAATACTATTAATAATACATATATTTAATATCGTGTGTGACCCGACTTCGACCGCGTTATATTACGGCCATTTTTTTTCCAATCTGTCGTTCGTTGTCCCACACACGAACTGTCTCCAGATCAAAATTATTTCGGTCAGTTTATTTATTACATTTATAAATGCACAATATTATATTAAATTATGCATTAATGTATTAAGCGTTTTATGATAATATAACGTGTGAATGAAAAAAAAATGGGTTGTAGGCATCATAGTATGTGTAAACATCGCTGTCAAATCAACAATAACATTTTAATAAAAATTGAAACGTATGTTTAGGAAAAAATCTTAATTACGTGTAAACTTTTCGAAGGTTAATCGAATAAAAACGTCATTGAAATAATAATAGTAATATATTATTTTCCGACTAATATAATTGAACGTTATGACGGCCGTGGCGTCGACGTGGGAGCGTCGACCGCTCAAAGACAAAACAGTGGCGCTGTGTTTATTAGGTATAGTAGTAGTAGTAGTGAAACACATGGTGTCGGGTAATTAAATGTGTGTGTACGAGTAAGTCAGATTAGACGACAATAGCGAAAAGCGGACGTCCACGATTATTATTATTATTATTATTATTATTGGCACCATGATGCATGTAAATTAGAATATCCGAATTTCGAAGCGACGACACTGCGGTCGATGGTTATGCGTGAGACACGTCGTATAATAATATTGCATTATTATAGTGAAACATTTTGACAAATTTATACATCTTAACTTCTATAATATTATTACATCAAACGGACACGACTGCAGCGCGATATCGCAACTTATTACATCATGAACGCGAATTTGATGATCGTTTTGACACAGTCAATTGACATTATAGTCTCCACAGATTTGTCTCCGAAAATTATTTTACTGTCGTATTACGTAATATGATATAGTGTCAGCTGATGAGCACACGTCCCACGTTGTATTAAAACATAGTTTTTTTTTTATTTTGTTTTTAATGTAGAAACGCGAATTTAAGAGAGGAAGCTCCGCGGGGAGGAGGCGTTTAAGTCTCGTTTTTGGCAGTACGACGTCGACCATACCGCAATAACCGACATAATATTTTATACATACCGTGTATACCGCCGTGCACGTATACCCAATAAAACATAGGTATCACGTAGACGAGGATGCTGGATGGACCCCGACTCAACGTGACCTCACAAAACACGACATTCGCATACACCTCGAGGTACATATTATATTATAATACATCATAAATTTTGGTACTGTTCGTCTGCAGTATACTTTATTATACCTAATATTATGTATGCGTATAACTATCGCGTCCGATCTAATTTACCTACCCTGTGTGTGTTATAAATATGTATTGCATATATTATATTGTATGTAATGCATAATATATATATATATGGGTGGGCGTGGGTGTGAGATGCTATGTGCATATACCGACGGCAGCGGTCACGTAACGCGTTATTCTCCGTTACACTATTATTAATATACACACACAGAGAGAGAGACAGAGTGAAACACACACACACACACACACACATTTATAGGTACATAATATGTATGTATATAAGTTTATTGTATAATAATATTATGTATACCTACCTACTGCAATCGTACAGCCGTTTCGCGTGCTCGACTTCGCAGAGTGTTGAATGTATTACGTACCCTATAACACGGTAACACACGCATTTGGTACATATTAAAACAACGTCCGTCTCGTGTGTGTTACGATATTTAATAATATGCGACCGAATATCTACATAATATTACTGCAAATATAGGTATACAGAGGCGGTTTTATATGGGTACTTGTGTACACCGGGGTTATGTAGTGCAGCAGTGTATATTAATGCGTAATAATAATAATAATATGTTAATCGCATTACATTATAATATTACGCTGTCGCGCTCGCCTTCACCTCGTTCCGCGTTTTACCGTTTCGTCTGCGAGCTTTTTATTTCGATTTTTTTTTTCTTTTTCGCACGTAGGTACTCACCTAAATGATAATATTATGTATATTGCGCAGGACTCTGTGACCCCGCGGGTACAGTCGCATTATTCGGAAGCCGCCCGAACGTTATTTATAATCGCTGCCGTGTGCCGCACGTGCCCAAATAATATAATTTATTATAATACCATATATTATTATACAGCAGTGTTACCTATGAGGATATAACGGTATAGGTATAGAGTATATAGTAGTAAACGATAACGCCGGTGCGTCGAGAAACGGAGAAAAATGACTCGATCGACGACGATCGTACACAATATGGCCTCCGTTGCTCGGACGTGGGATATGCATATACCTGTAGACGACCGGGTCGGTGGGGGCACTTGTACCTCCCCTCGAGGGATCGGGGCCAGCGTACATGGTTTTTTGTTTATTTTTCTGGTCATTAAATAATACTATCGATTATACTTTTCTCGTTTTCAATCAATAATGCATAATGGTTTTTTTTTCCGAGGGTGCTGCAGGATATATTATTATACTAGCAGGCGCTAGCGAGTGACAAACGTCTCCGTGAAACGACACGTATAATATACGATGCGCGCCTAAACTGTACTATTATATACTAAGTATTTGTTCTTTTTTTCTTGTTTTACGGCGAAAAGTCCCAAAAGTACGCTTTTGTATAGTCACTTAAGGGCGAATCGTGCTACAAAGAAGCGCGTATTATTTATAATATATTACATATACATAATATTATAATATACGCACCGTAAGCGTTTGATGACGATCTGTGGTGAGTTGCGGTTAACCATACGGTTACGAGACTTGTTAAATTTCCGATCGATAAATTGCCATCGAAAATGATTTCTGCAAAAACCAAAAATGGAACTAGTGGTGCTAAAACAATTATACTCGGTGAGCGTGAGAGTATCATGGTATATATTATTTACACTGCTGGAGAGGGTGGACTTAAGTGGGCGCTTGCATTGCCATTCCAATCTGATGCACTCGGTTAAACTATTAGTTCGCAGTTATTCGAGCAGATTATCAGGTAGTAATATTTCCCATCATAATTTCCAAGACTCATATAAAAAATAATATCACCCTGCAGGACATCGCGGTCGTTAAAAATCGAATCCCCTCTAAAAATAAATTTTTTTAATTAGGCCTGTGTGCAGGCGTAGGTATCTAATAATTTTACGCGAATATAATACATCTCGCCTGGCACGCGTAAGTTTGGTCTATATTTAGGACTAGTGATTAAGCGCTATGTGTTATGCACCACTCTCACCACCGCACCTAATTCGGTCACAAAAATATGATACGAACTGCACAATTTCTATTGCACCGTGTACATAGCATAATACGTATATTAATATGACCAATTTAACGTGTTTTTAAAACGTCATTTGTTTTGTGTTTCAGACGTGCGTGGATCGTGAAATCGTTTCGCATACCGGTCCTTATCATTCTTCGCCTTGTGTGCAATTTAAACAACTGGACGGAGAACTGATAAGGGCTGGTATGTCGATACTACTTCGTACAAGACCTGCTCAGCGACGACGACGACGACGGCGACGACTACTACTAAAACCGTATTTTGTGCAATATTAGCTAACTTTTGTTGTGGGGTGTCCTGCCTGATAGATGTGGATCTTTGACTTTCCTTTTTAATTTTCCAATATGCAACGCCACATTGACATTTGTATCAACAAGAAAATTATAAACGACTAAAATAATCTTGATTTTAATTATAAATACAAATTATAATTTGTATACTATTATCGAGATATTATACTCAATATTCAGATTTTATTATATATATTATATTATCTACGCATGTATTTAATACCAATACAACATTTTGATTTTGTTACATTACTATTTTATAGGGTTAATTTGTTTTTATATGGTTATAAACTTACATTGAACCACTCTATAATCTCAGTATTGTATAATGATTTTTTTTTTATGTATAAATACTAATCAATAGAAAATGAATTAAACTCATAAAATAGTTATATATATATAATATTAGATATTATACTGGAAAAAAAGATGGCAAGTCTATTTGAAGTGAACGTTTCTTTGAACTGTAGCCTATCAACCGTTTGGCTTGACTTCAAGGTTAATAATATTATGATGTATGACTGTGAAAAAAATGTTATACGTTTTTTTTGTTTTACTAAGAAATTACTTTTGCAATAATTGACATTCTCCGCCAACGACCGCCGCCAGACATCTATCCATCTATTATGACCAGGGTTAGGGACTTATTGTAATCACGTATCCATATTGACTATTGAATGGAGTAAGACATGGTAGAGTAATAATATACAAAGACTTTTATAATAGGTAGTTTGAGAGAATTCAAATACGAAAACGCTTTTTCCGCTTTAATAGGCTATAAATTAAAAACTACTTAGGTATGCGGTGTTTTGTTTGTTAATCGTGGGAAACGCTTAAAAATGAATTAAAAATGTATTTGATTCAAAAATATTTGTGCTTATAGGAATTCGTCTTAGTGTATAAAATGACATTTTTGGAGCATAACAATATATATGCACATATTTTTAAGTTTTCTAAAGTCCCGAACTCTGACCATGACGTACTGCATAATATTGGACATATTAACAGGATGACGAATGCGCTTACAAAATATGCGTTTCGTGGTCTTGGTGATGTTTAGTTTATCGCGTGAATTCTGCATAATTTCAAGATTCAAATATATCTTATAGTATTTAATTTTTTTAGTTTCGATTATGTTCAATTTTATTCCGTATTAAAAGTCTTATCGTGTAGACGCAAACCCATATTGAAAATGCAATACATTAAGACGTATAATACACGATCTATGAAGGCGTATTAATGGAGTTTTTAAAATGAGTTTATCATAAACAAATTTGTCAACATTCTTAGAAAAATCAAAATATATTTTAATTATAATCAAAAGTATTTACCATTTGGACCCATTTCGTTGTTGTTGTTGGTCGTTCCATAACATTTATCACGAAATTATTTAGAAAATTAAAACCCATTGACGTAAGTCGGTTATTACTGCGTCTAGACAAAATTAACAGCTAAATGGCGTCTAAATTATTACTACAATTCTTGTAAGAGGATAATGTTATAGAGAAAATCTGTTTTTATATATTTAGGTATTTTTTTTACCCACAATTTCGTAAAATTGGTAAACCTAATATTATGTTCTCCCGTACAAAATATTGTTTGAATTATCATTTTTTTTTAAACGAACGAGTAACTTCGATCTTTTCCTCCGTATCATCCACCCTAGCTCTATGTAGACGAAAAGCGATCGCACTGTTTTCTCTGCTCCTCCGTCAAAAATCCCGATACGATTTCGGTGGTTTAAAGTCCTCTTGATTTTATTCGACACATAATACTCTCGGTGTATGACGGTATAATATCAAACCTATCGGTTTAGTCACACTGCTCGGCCATGTGTGCACGAAAATAATAATATTTCATAGCATAACACATGGAGACTGTCGCGGTGCCGGTACACTGCACGATGTGCGCGTATTAAACATACTCACACACACACACACACACACACACACATAAATATATATATATATATATAGAGAGAGAGAGAGAGCATGGAGACCGACCATTTCGACAAACAAAACCGAATACATATGTACATACTCGTGTGTATATAATACTATCATATATATATATAGAGTGTGTATGCGAGTGTACGCCGCTACCCGATCGTTAACGATGGTCTCGGAATTCCATTAAAATAACGTGGACGCCACACGCCCCTGCAAGTGTATAATATAATATATATACTATGTCGGGTGTATATACAATAATAATAATCATAATAATATGTCCCTTATTACCACGACATTCCCATGCTTATATACATATATATACGCGCCGAAACGTTGTTGTAACTATGTGTAATGTGTATATATACCCGCAGAGGTTTTGCAGATGAACCCATGTCCCACCCATATACATATAATATCATATAGAATATAGAACACACACGTGCATGTATATATAATATATTATAGGCATATAGTTGTGGTATATATAATATGTGGTACTCGATATTAATTATTAGGCGTGACGCGGGTTCCTCGGGGACACGATATTGGCATTTGGCTCCATTACGCGTTACGTAATATCTTATATCTGGAAATGGGTACCATTAAAATTATGTATAGATACATCGCACATATTGCTATATTATAAATTCCTCGTGGAATTGGACGAGGACTGGTCAGTGGTCGCAGTGTTAGGGTGATATATCTCCATGTGAGCCGTTGAATTGTGAGCACGGACTGAGTTAGGCTCTTAGTCCGTGATTGTAAGATTGTGAGCCGGTCTGAAGCATGGAAGTTGTAGGATCCAGCGGGAAGGAAAATGAAACATATAATATTATTGTATTCATATTATAAAATGTACAAAAATTGTTCAGGTTTAACCGATTTCACCAGAAGTTCTACACACCTACACCTCGGGGCCATCACTATATATGTACCGATAATAAATATATCACTAGGCTTATTAATACATTTATGACAATCGTATAATTTTCGTATTCCTAAAATATAATATTATGTTTATTCACACTGTAATAATTCCATCACCTGTCTGTTGATAAAAGCGACAGCTTGTTAGTGGTTAAAATAAATAAGGATTGAGGTTATAGTCGTTAGATATCATTACTTATCAATGGGGCATTATAATGCACTATATGATCCTTAAAAACGGAGTTGACAAACATTAAAAAAGAGGGAAGTTACCTAAATATCAATACGCAAGAAAAATATAAAATAAGTTTCAAAGTTAAATTCATAATTAAATAATTCAAACTTCCTGTTCAAAACTGCTTATAAAATAATTTAAAAAAAATAAACTTATCAATTATCATATATAGAATAGATTTTAACACTATTTGCCGTTGATAAAAGTTCAGTTTTTAGTAGATTACTCTAAATTTTAAGATATATCTGAAAAAGTTCACTGTTAATGTAGAAACAATATCAGTTGATAAAATATACAAGTCAAAGATTTGAATGAAATGTTTAACTACCTTAATTAGTATAATTATATTAAGTAAATCAACTATTTATTTTTATTTTTATAAGTAAAGCAGCTGTTGCAATATTATATAGCATAGTAATTGTATTTTTAAGTGGTTGCTGAACCTATACTATAGTACCTACACTTTGCAATACAGTCATCATATAGAGATTGGTTGAATTCCTCGAGTCAAAATTTGTTTTAAATTACATGATGGGACGTTCAGAGTTTTATTAAGAATTTTACTTGGACTGATAGATTTTTCTAACAAACCTAGGTCGATCCGTTCACAATCTATCGCTGCTTGTAATATATTATTATAAATATCGGCAAAAAATAATTATTTACGAAAAATTTGCATTTGATGATTTTCTTATCTCGCTATAAATACCGGTAATGCTTTATACTTAACACTTGATATTCAAGTTTAGATGATTTCATATACCATAACTATACAATGTTGTCAATATTAATACTATTATTAATTTTTTAATATAAATTAAATCTGTACATGTTGTATATAGAACTACTGCATATTTTCATTAGGGATAGTACCTACTCAATTTAACTAATCTATTAAACTTTTTGCACTTTTATTAAAAATAGGTAATTCAAACTGTTACCAGTGACCAGTTACTCTCGTTATTATTTGTAATTTGGCCACACTTATTTCAATTTCATTGGATTAGTTTTTTTTCTAGTATAGTATTTGTTTGGATTAGCAAAAGTACCCTTCGATACCTCTTAGTAACACCTGTGTAACTTCCGATGACTCAGCGCTCATGTTGAGGCGGTGATAACATATTACGCCGGTAGTTCGGATTAGGGGAGCAATTTGAGTAATGTTTGAAAATTACATCGTGTTAAAGTGGTGTCACAAAATAACGAAAATTGTTAGAGGAAAATGTTGTTTATTAAATAACTAATTTCGTGGAATATGAACCTTTGAACAAATTGTGACATTTTATTTTTGATATTAGATTGCATTTGATAATTATTGACCAACAAAAAACCTTGTATAAAATTTAAATTGTCCACGTTTTTTTACTTAGAAAAAACAATTATACGTAGCTTAAAAAGAGTCAAATATTGTAAACTGTATTATAATGTATAAAAAATGCTTATATTATATATTAAAACTTTTTGGTTAACATTTTAAATCTCTTTAGTTTTTCATTTTCGAATTACCATAAAAAAAACCAAATCGATGAGATCGAAAATTGATATTGCGTCAATATTCCTATTTACTATTTAGTGTTTTTTGTAATACTCGTTAGTTTTTAGATTGTTTCAGAAGTAGTTGGGTGGTGGGAATTTTTACTTTTGACTTCCTATAGTTATTACCAACTAGATCCAATTTTCTACAAAAATATCATGTTAATATTCCGCTCAAAATATAAAATAAAGTACTTCAGCGCCCTCCACACCTATTTTTCATTTACTACAAGTAGGCCTTATAAATATTGTCTTAATCTGGACCCGATTTTGAATAAAATGCTTCGAAATTATAATGTAAAAAAAAATACAATGAATATCATTTTTTTTTGTTTCCAAAGGATAGAAAAATCTAATGACCCAGATCATATTATTTTTATTATTTTAAAAGTGAGCTAGGTATATTAGTTTTAACAGAAATATTTTTTAGTTATTTCGATACATACTGATATCAGACATTCATGAATAATATCTAAAAGACTGAAAATAAACGTACTCTATTATATTACCTACAGTGGTAATTAAAAACTTATCGAAATTATATGCAAAAATATGCGAGACCAAAATATTGTCAGTAATACCTTCGAGTTGCTTTGGCATAATTCATTGCTCACAGAGTTTTTTTTTTTAATTATGCAAATGCATTCAATTCTGGGTACCTATGTACTTAATTTATTGGTCGTTGATATTATTTATGTATTATACAATGAACAATAATTATTTGCTCGTAGTCTGCAGAATGAATATGTTCACTATTTATATGTACATATTACATAAGCGACTAAGCGAGCAATAATAATTTACAAAAAAAAACTATGTTATTTACATTCTTAAATTGTGACAGTACCTACTTTAATATTAGCAAAATTGTTCAATACACCTTATTACACTCTAAGATCGTATTTTAGGATAATTTTTTTCTATTTGAAATTAAATTCAAATTCTGTTTTTAAATTCCATTCAGTTATGAGTTGTGACTTATTTTTTTTTTTTGCAAGTGGTTCAGAATATTATAGATTAATTATTAATCAGAAATCAGAAAATCAATAATTTACGTTTTTTGAAAAGACAACCTATGTATTAGACAACGATCTAATACCTACAAATTAATTTTAGATTCTGAGCAGAGCGATAAATGTAATGATTCTACTGTGTGTATTTGTTGTGTCTGTCATCACCTTTTGGGACAGTAAAAATGCTTTGATTTTCTTTAACAGCGTATTTTCTAGTAGTAAAGTGAATCTAGTTGGTACGTTGTGTGGTTAGTGTAAAAAATTGTATTCTATATATATTTACAGGACATTTCCATTGTTTAAAGAACACAATTTTAAAAAATAATTCATATAGACTAACTGACAAATCATGCGTTGCTATGAGATTTTTTTTCAATAACGGAAGATAAAATTTAATTCATTGTTTGTTACTAAAATGTACAACAAAAGGCAATGTCCTTGTGTTTTTTTATAGAATCAAAATCTACTCGACCGATTTTAACAAAAGTTTCGGAGATTTTTTTAGAGATACCAGAAAAGTTTATTGAGTGGTTTGAACCACTTTCAAAAATGTACTAAGTGCTATATCCAATCAACAACAGGTGGATTTTCCATCTCAGTTGATCTGTATATAGCAGTGTGCACTAAAACTGAGATACCCCTTACACCAATATAGCAACGTATTATATGTTTGTAAATTTTTTCCCGGGCGAGACAGCTAGTATAATAATATACAGTGGCCAGTGGTAGACTATGCCGGCAGTATATCAGGATTCGAATAATAATTAGAGATGTTCCCACTTATGGCTATTATAGAGTATAAAGAAAAATATATCAAATAATATTGACATTGTTAAAAATAAAAGTGATTTATTAGATAAAATCAAGTTCGGAAAGCTCACTTAGTGAGCTTCCTAAATACACGTATAGACGTATTTCAATACAACGCAATCAACTATAAAATTCCAAATACAATTTATACAGAATTTGGTAACCCTAATATTTTGGTTGTATGAATCTATACTAAATTCTTATACAGTATAGCTATGCAATTATCATAATATCAACAATAGCAATTAAAATATCTTAATACACAAATAACCGTAACTATGTAAGCTACTGCAGACTTAACTGACGGACTGACAACGTTGATAACAAGTTACTTAAACTTATGTTTAAAAACCTGAACACTTTAACAAACTATGAACATATTTTTCAAATTTAAAGTTATTATACTTTGTTTTTATTAAGTACAACATACGAGTTATTTAACTAGTTTGAGGACAACATGAGTATCTATACAACTTCAAAACAAGTATTATGGATTTGTATCCTAAAATATCACTACATAAAAATACCCAGGATGAAACAAATTTGAGGGCTGGTGATAAAGTTTTCCCAATCTGATTGGTTTTCACAGTCTATCGGCTACCACCACTGTTAATATTAAATGTTTAATTGCCAAGATTGATCTTACCTTTACAATACACATAGGTGATCTGAATAGCAATAATATTATACGACCACTTAGATTTGACTATTTGAGAAGATATTTGTACAATTAAAATAAATGATTTATAAATGGTCTACAAGTGAAATAATTTCAAGTGAAAAAAATCCCCTCAAAACGAACGTGTTAAAAATATGCTGTGGTACTTAGTCTAAATCTGCAGCTGTACTTAGACCGTAATAACACTACACTAGCATAATATCACGATTCGTTTCCCACGTGTGTTTGTCTCGATTTCCGATGAATTGTTTTTTTTCACTTCTTTTTTTCCCCGTCTGGTGCATAATAATAATTATTATTACAGCATACTATTAATTTAATTATGCTTATACTACGACGTTACGCGAGCACAGACCTATTGATCATTAAAACATTTATGTACGATCTCATGATGATGTAAGATGTAAAGACGACACATCCTTTTGCGATTCGTTTTTCTTGGCCAAATGTATAGTCGGACAACGTAATAATATTGTCTCAGATCCTCGCGCTTAAATTATATACCCACTTCCAAAACAGTATTTCGCCCTATACAGTTTATTAAATCTGGTAGGTATCATCATAATAATTAATATTTTACTACTCCGGGTGGATCATAAAGCGAGTAGTTGAACATAGTCATACCCAATGGCCAATAGACAGTTAGTAATAATTATTATTCATTATTGTGTACCTACCACGGTACATTATTCACGCACTTTAAAACGAAATTAATAATATCATGATATCATATCAGCTGCAGCACATACGATATACTCATATTTGTATTACCGAATCGTATTTCGCTTTTATAAAGAAGAAAATTAGCAGGACGTTAAAATTAATAATGGCCAGTATAGGGAATGAACTGTTAATTTCACCAAGACAACTGATAGAACTAGAACAACACTAATATAATATAGTCATGTAAGTGTCATAATATGAATATGGATAGGACTTTTACAACCTAAAAACCACAAAACTTCAAAAATTCCATAAAAACTCAACAAAATTAACTAAATATGTGACCAAAAAAATATACTTTTGTTACGTACTTAAGCATGAAAATATTGTGGAGTGCCTTTGATGATTTTTGCTTTAGCGTACGTGTGCTATGGAAAACTGTTCGGCAGTAATAAATAACAATTACATTAGAAATTGCCTAAATGATGCCCCTTAGACAATAGCCACAAAGAATCGTTTTAAATAATTGAAAAAATTAATTATGCAATAATCTACATTGTACAATAATATACATAATACATGTATATAATTATACCGAATATTATATTATATTTGCACTAACCTCAATTTTTTTGTCATCTCGTGGTGTCTAATATTTTGTAATTTGTATTGTATAAAACTAGAGTTTTCAATATATATAAATAATTATTACGTAATATAGACTTGTCTACAATTTCAAATTCTATATTTTTATAAATACCTTAACCTTGTTTTATTTAATTTAACAAGTAAAATTTGCACATACCTTTAAAGTAAATGGTGATTGATCACTATTATTGGTTAAATTAAACAATTATTATATTACTTGATTATTTTGTTATTCACTTTACTCAGTTTTCATTGAATTCCCGTGCATGATTATATTGACTAATGTGTTGTTGAAAACCTTCTTCAATAATAATACAAATATTTTTAAAAATCTAAGCATTTTCTTTAAAATCTAAAATGTGAGTAAAATTACCTGAACTATTTAAAAATATATAAAAATTACGCTTAAAAAAAATAAAAAAAATAAATTTATTTGTACCCAAAAATGCTGAATTAAATTTATATATTCTGAAATCTGAATAATTGAAGCACCTATGAAACAAATGTGTAGTCTTGTTAGCATTGTATTGGGTTCTGGATTAAAGAAGAAAAAATACAAAAGTCATCCAACATTCTATCTCTACTTATGAGTTCTAATATGATTTATTAACACCCGTGTTGCACTATTGTCTATTTAATAATTTGATTCATCGGGCGCTTCAAAATGAAGAAATACATTTAAGACAAATACAAACAAATAATTATAAGTTCTAAAATATTATTGTAATCGAATTGTTACCAAAAATAATAAATAAATAAAATATTATATTGTATAAAGCTATGTATGGCCCTTGTCACCTGTCGCCAAAGCTTAAGATAATAATTAGGTATACAATTTATAATTGATAATTATTACCCGTCGATTTAATTATTGTAAACAATTATTATTGTACACCTATGTTGTTATTTAAATTAGCCAAAGAGAAATAAAAAATATACCAACTGCAGGGAACTGTTAATATTTTGATACCTACTCGTATAGTCATATACCATCTTTTGTATTTACTATAATATTAATTTATTTTGAATTAAATTATATCACATAAATAATTGGACTTATTTATATAGGTATTCAAATTTAAATTTGATATTTTATTGAATTGTTTATTCTAATATAATTAAGTCATAATGATGTAATTCTAAAAATATAAAAACACATTCACACGTGGATAAAGAGTTATTAAAAAAATAATATCAAAAACAAATAATTAACTTAACTTTATAAGTAATTGAACTTTCAATATAAATACTGAAATTTCTTTAAAATCAATTAATTTTGTACCGTACAGCTAATGAAGTATATTTATTTGGTAGGTATTTATTGCATTATTATTATTATTTATTTATTATACATTTACACATCATATTATATGATATTGGAGCTTAGAGTTAGTAGCAATATACAATCTGATCGCAATAAGAAAATTAAAAAAAATGAGTGATCTCTTGTTTCCAATATTATCTGTAATTTATTATTCCTCACAGCGAAGAAACATTGTGTACACAACTTTGAGTTTTGTCAAGTGTTAAACTCTTACACATAATTTTATTATGTATACAATTCGATACCATGTCACAAGAGACCTTTTAAAATTAAGTGAAGATTCTTTGATCTTTTATAGTCAATTTTATAATTTATTCATTCACCCGACAACTAATTTCTTTTCCAGACTGCTGTTACGCTTTTTTTGTTACGGTATAAAAAAAATACACAGCACACATAAATCTACTTATATAATCTTAAGTCCCACATACTTTGTTGTAATTACGCAGTAAATGCAAAAATCTTTAGAGAAACTACGATTTTCTCCTAAAAAACATTCTTACATAGGTACAAATATCAAAAATTCAAACAGCCATAGTTTTTATTTGAAAGTTACAAATTATTATAATTTATATTGATTGAACTTATAACTCGCATACTATATATTATTGTAATAGGTATATGTTATCAATTCCCTAATGTTGACATAGATTTTAACGAAATAAGCCACTTATGTTATTTTATTAAATTAATTTAAGTGATGAATCATGATCATAATTAAACATAAATAATTATGGATGAACATAAATAGTAAATTGTTTAACGCTATAGCTTTTGGGAGTGGATAAAGGTATGGAATCGTAGTAGCAAATATCATAATTATATATGAATCATGAATACTCAAGATTGGACAATTATAATTTTAGTCAATTAGAAAGATTTGGAGAAGGGTTGTAAAATTAATTATTTGTTTATAAATTGCTTTTATAATCATAAAATATAATTATGAATATTAATTTGTAACTTTGTCTGTTTAATCTATTATACAAATTTATAACTTGAAAATTAATTTTAATCTATAAACAGTACAGTTCATTATACTATACACTATACATTTAGCCCATTCAGGTATATATCATGCACTAGATGTTTGCAAGATTATAATAAGAACTGTTAATTTATGTAAATTAATAATTAAATTTTATTGTCAGTTTAATTAAAGTTGTTGATTCACTCTAATTTAAAATAGGTTTCTTAAATTAATTTTCAGAACTCAAAAGGTCAAAGAAGAGTCTTTATGGAATTCATGGTAATAATTTTAATTGAATACAACTAATACCCACTTTCTCGCTATACTTACTTTTACTTACTTTTACTTACCTTTACTTACTTTTACTAAAATAAAATAAGTTCACAACATTTTTTATAGCGTCTGAAAACTAAATTTCGACGATATTGTATATTATATTCACTCGTAAAATAGATTTCTCATCAGCCGATTAGACTGACAGACCTTCTTCGCTCAGAATTGTTTTTTGTATGCAATGAATAATGATTTATCACGGAATTCAAATTTAACATATAGGTACATCATTACTCAATTACGAAGTATATTTACTCGACAGTCAACACATAAAAAGGTACCTACTATAAAAAGCAGAGAGGTTACCCACTTTTTAAAATATTAGATATCTAATATCTAATATATACCTACCAGCTTATTAATTATTATTTTACAGGAAGTATTTTTTATAAAAGCTCAGAGTGTGTGTGTCCCTTCACTTCCGAAACAAATAGAAAACTGAATTAATAAATGAATAGGTATCTACATTTCTGGCTGAGGCTTTGAAATATTATACACACAAAGTTATTCTAGTTTGAAAATTCATTATTTTGTTATTTTCCAAACTTGTAAAAGTTAGAAAAATTATCGTTGACACAAAAAACCTCCGTAAATGTGCCAAACTTACGATTTTGACGTTTTGTTATACCTGAATACAGCTATAGTTTTATAATACCTCCTATGTGATATCGCCTGTCTTCATCGTAAAATTGATGAACAACGCGGTTGAAGGAAAATGTCTTCTAATTCTATGTGATTAAAAAATATATATAATATGAAATGACTATATTCAAAAAACGTTCTATGGATATTTTGTAAAAAACAAACTATAATAAAACCTACAATGTTCCATAACTAGAAGTCATGATAATTAGGCATTTACCTATCTTGTTTGTAAACTCGTAACTCATAACACTGACAATAACATTCGATACTTCCGCAAACATAACATTTCTTACTCCAAACTTTTCGAATAACAGTGTATGTTTATTGTTTTAAAGTTTTCTATTTCATTTCTGTAGATGGAAATTTGTTTTTTTTAAAAAACGTTTTTCGGTTCTCTATAAAAATCAAGTTTTATAGTTCACCTCTTAAATTTGTTCACCTTTTATACTGAGAAATTGATGCCCCGCTATATGATTATGGGACATTAGGGTGAGTGGTAGTTGCCCTCTCCAATTCGATTTTTAAGACCATATAATAATATAATATTATAAAATTATTTTTCATTTTTATTCGTAAATTTATAGTTTGCGTTCTGCCCCGAAAAGAATAATAACAATAATATGTCGTTTCGAATGATGCGACGACATCTAGCTGTGCGGCGTGAGTGCTTCCCATAGAGTAAAATATTTGCTTTTTTTGGGGACATCACTGCAGCCGGACAAATAGCTCGAAAACGGAACTGCCCCGCACTCCCTCCCAAAACCATGACCACGTTATCAAAGGTCCGTCGGTAGAATATTATTGTCTTTCATTCCGGTGATAAGCACAACTGTTGCACACTCGCACTGCTTAATGATAACGCCACCTATCATAATCTGATCGATACGAGATAGTTTTTTGTTAATTGCTATTGCTATTTACATACTAATCCTACTAGTCACTATAATAGACTATTGTAAACATTTTACGTCGACTCAAGAATTTCGCATCGTTTGGCTTTGCGGGAAGCGAGTCAGAGCAAGTAACAGACAGCTTTTCAACTGACAGCAACGGCAATGACGTTCATACCCTCTCTGCAATGTACTTTAACCATCAACAGACCATTTTATCATCGACGGTTAAGCGAAGCTAGTTATCAACATGATCTGTTTCAGAATCTAAAATTCAGACCAACTAGTAAGGTAATTCATTACGACTTTGCTTAGGCAGGAATGCACATAAAGCATTATTTGACGTAAAGTCTGGGCCTTTTAGTTGTGGGATACCCGACATTTATAAACCATTAATTATTTTGATACAAACTAGTAGTAAAAAATTCTACTAAGGACAATGATTTTTGAAAAACTTAGTTCCCGAGTGGATGTTTTGCATGCATGTGTCGTCTGCTAACCCAGTGGCACTAAAGTTAAAATATGTTTGTCTAGGACAAACATAAAAAAAATAAAACATCCGCCCTCAACATCGTAGGTAGACATTTTGGAGGGGGGGGGGCCTTGAGAGTGCTAAAACGTACAAACCGAGAAATCAAACATCCTAACTGGTCACTGATCACTACTATAAATAATAAATATAAAGTAACTTTCGTTTAAAATATACTTGAAGGGCAAATAAAAATAAGAACAATTAAAAAACCATCTTTAATTAATAAAGCGTTCATCTAATTATATTTCTTATCACCTTATAGTGTTCACAAATTTTGTATGTTTATGATACAGGACGTCTAAAATAAATATCACCTGGGTTTTGCGCGGTGCTTAAGGTAAGATGAGTTTTGCGCTGGGAGCAACTGATTTGCAATAACGTAATTTTAAATATTAGCTCCCTCTAAAATTATAGAAAATTTCCGCTTCTATTCAAAATGCATCACAAAATGGCCAATTCTAAAACCAGACCTCTTAAATATACCTACTTACAGTTGGTAATATTTTTGATAATAGGTACATTAGTTAACAATACATTTTGTTTGAATCAATTCCTGAACATATTTTTTTTGTAAAACATTTTTTAAGAATATTAGCCTAATTATACTATGTATAGTAAATGGTACCTAATGATAAAAATTTAAACATTTGATTTGTACACCAATAAATGTACAACAGTATTTAAAATAGAGATTGATGAATTTCACGTCACTTAGATACTATGAATGCAATTTATTATACTATTTTTACTACCTGTCAAGTATAGGTCGCAATTCACAATCACCCATTAATACAAACAAACATTTTTGTACAATATAAGATTATAATAATCTAATTCAACTTTTAATTTTAATATTTTTTTTTTTTGTTAATTTACTAAGCGAATTTCCCAATTTTTAAGTTTTTAACCTTGTTTAAATATTTTTTGATTGTAGCTTAATTTTTTTTGGACTAAAAATATTTTTTATTTGAATAGACAATAATAAATTATAGGTGTAAGTTAATATAACAGTATAACAATTTTAGTATGAAAGTATTAATTTTTAATTTCTGAAAGAGATGCAGGATCATCAGACAGCATTGTTACATTACAAAAATATGTACACAAATGTGTTTGTAACATTAGATAAAAAAAAGTAATTTTGAAAAAGCTAACCTTTTGCACTTGTGAACAGGATATAATATGATATTAGATTCAATATTGGGTGAATTAAGTATAAGTGAGCACCTAGAGACTTTTAATTGAAATATTTAAATTATATTATATTTAAGGGTAAAAATATTGAGTGTACATTATAGATCATTCAGTATGGTATTTTTGTATATAGTAGATGTATATTATACATAAGTTTATGAATACAGCATATAGCATACATAATATATATTATTATATACAAATATAGTCATTATATATCATACATATTGTATACTATTTTTAATACCAACTTATCATTTTTAAATGTGCTACAAATGTGCTGTGTAACAAAACATATAAAATAATAGAATTTCTGTATAGGTACATAGTGTAATATGATACTATTTAAACATAAATTCTTGTTAAAATATTGGTTTAGTTGGTCTATTAAATAACTCAAATCTTTATTTAATGTATATAACTTATACTTAAACTTGATACTTTATACATTTTCTTTTACTCATACCAGGATATGAAAAATATGCTGACTATGTGGATGAAAAGCAACAGTATCAACAGATGCGGTAATGGTCTTCAGGTTTTTTTTAACTGTGGCATAGAACAAGATACAGGATATTTGAAAATTGCTATGGTATGTAAGTTTTATATTTTACCAGAATATTTTTGTTTTTAAAATGAGTGTGTGTTATGATGTGTTTATGTCGTTTTTAATGATTACCGATTGAGAATTTAACATTTATAAAAAACAATCTTTTCTTTAGCAACTTTTTTATTAGTTTTATATATTTTTAGCACTTAATTAAATTAATAGCTAAATCAACTATATTTTAATATATGAACTATTTTTTGAGAATCAATTTTATAACACTAAGGTACCGCTAAGGCAACCCGCTTTACCCTTCAACCCTTCACTTTCATGACCATGGGAGTTATTATTTTGTGTTAATTTGAGTTCTTTAATTTGCACCTTTTTTTAATTGTTTTGTTTACCTTCTCTTAAAAAAAAATTAGGTATATTACAATTTAAAATATAGTTAATAAAAATGTATCCCAATTATTTCAATTGGAACTTTTAATAAGTTTCCTAAGTATAGGGGTTTACAATAGGCAGCTCACGGCCCAAATACATGGAATGGAAATAATTGAACCATCAAAAATATTTTCCTTCTATGCTGATTTTTGGCATACAATAGATATTTTCAAAGATTTGGGAAAAATTAAGACCTCGTTGCAATAACGAGAAGTGTTCATTTTTTAGCCCAAATCACTTTTTTACATCATAAAATAGAAAGAAAACCTGCATCAAATGGTGCAACAATCAGACATGTTCAACTGTTATATATGGAGTTTTAATACAAAATGGACATGTCTTTTTGTTTGTTGATACAACTGGTTGTACAATATTTAATCACTGTGCAACAACAAGATTTGTCCAAACAAGTTTTTATTGCTCCCTTAGTTTGTATTAAAAGTTAAGCATTTTTTTTATAAGTTCGTATGTTGTATACACCCTAGAACAATAATCTACCATTTTTTTTTTAATTAAAATTTTTTTTCAGAGTTCAATTTTAATTTTGTCTGTTAAACAATTAAAAAATATCATGTCCAGTTGTTGCCTCAAGGTTTTCATTTGGAAAAATGCTGCAATTTCTATAAAATCCTAATGAAATTTCTCCAACTGAAGAATGAATTGAAGTACTTAGCTACAAAATTGTTCCAAAACCTTCACTTCAAATGGAAATTATTGATTTTCAAGAATATGTATCATAGTAAGTATACAAAACTGCATTTACTGACGATTTTTGGGCAATGCATGTTTTGGATAAATACATGAGTTGTGAAACTTTGTACTTCAAAATGACATTTTTAAAGAATAAAATATATCGTTCATGATTAACTGATCTCTGCCTTGAGAACACTCCAGATGTTCTCCAATAACACCAATTTTTAAAACTCAAGTATGATACTGCATTAAAAGCGGCTCTTAGTCTTACAAACTACATCACAAGAAAACTCTATACTTTAAAATCATAGTGTTATCATTCAGTTACAGTTTTGCAATTATCTACAAAACCTGAATTTAGAAAAATACACTGTTGTTATTAGTGTTCAAGTATCATTATTTGAGATTCATATAACTGCCCATCATTCATTAAAACTGTAAACCTTGTTAAGTACATAGTCGTCTATCTAGTTATGTAATATGAAGTATATATATTTCTGTATTTTCAGCTTTATTATTGTAACTAAAAATAATTAAATATTTTAGGAAAGGAAGAAAGCTAAAGAACATTTGAGAAAACAATTGGAAAAACTGACAGATTTATTAAATATGTTTTATACATAGCAAAAAATTCCCTAATATTGATTGAGGAAAGAGCGATTTTTGATAAATTATCACAGTTTTAAAATCAAAGGAAGATGGGTTTTATCAACTTCATCCAGTGACGGTAAAATAAATATTAAGAATGCTAATTCCTGGTCCCATAACCTATCACTTAACGATTATAGAATCAATAGCGCCCTAATAAAAAATGTTAAGTTCTATTGTAGGTCAGGGGTCGGCAACCTTTTTTGACGGAAGAGCCAAAAATTACAATGTACAACATTTTCCAGATTTTAAAGAGCCACTATAAATGTTCTTAATTTTTTAAATATAATTTCATTTTTAAATTTTAATAGACATAATAATAATACAATTTATTTTTAACAATAAAATACATTTATAATAAAAAAAAAACAGTTTTTAATGATAGGGAGTTACATCAATGAAAGCATTGGCTTTGCGTGTCTTTTGAAAGTTCTTTTAAATTTGACTTATAACTTGTTGTTTTAAGTTTCAAGCACGACTCTAGATTTTTATTTGTAAGTTGGCTTCTTACTTTACTTTTTATTGTATTCAGGCAAGAGAACGCTTGCTCACACAATTATGTTAACCCAAAACTTTCCAGCACTCTACATGCCAACTTTTTAAAATATTGTTTTTACACATAAAATATTAATTTTTGCTGGAGAGCGGTAACTTTAGACCGAAAGAGCCACATGTGACTCGCGAGCTGCAGGTTGCCAAACACTGGTATAGATTTATCTATTTCTGATGGCAAATTTTTTGTAGATGGTTTGCATAATTTACCTATGCCAAGATTATTCAGTAATTGATCAAATCCTTTAGAAAAGGAAAAAGAAAAGAGGAATATTAATATATTTAACAGTTTGATAAGTCTATTCATTAAATAAGTTTAAGGAAACAGTTTCATAAATCCCAGCATTGAAATTTTTTTCATATTGTATGTCTTAACAGCTTAAATTTATCTAAATATTTTGAAAATGTATATAAAAAATTTTAATTCCCTATGAATAATATTTTTGAATTTCAACAAAATAATTAAAATCAGTTACCTATATATTTTTGAATAATATATTTTTACTATAAAAGGAAATGATACGTATATCACAAATGAAAAAATTGTGGTAGTTTTCTATCTAGAGAATAACTGCTTTTAATATAACACAGGTCAAGTTTTTTTAATTAATAAAATTATTTTAGATGTATCCTCAAAGTTATGATGTACCGCAATAGCATCTGCATCAATCACAGTGTGAGCAGCTACAGCAGCAGTATGTGCATGAACTAATGCCACCATAATCATTGATGGAGCAGCAGCCACTGATGCTCTTGTAAAAGTATTGACTTTCAATTTTGGTGAGCCAGGTGGTAAGTGTATATTATTTTTTATTCATTAATAATAGGATTAACCAGCCATTGGTACTACTTTGATAATATCTTGTTTGAATACTCATATTGTTTGTTTCATGCTATTTATATCTTCAATTGATATATTTCTAATTATAGTTTTGTAAATATAATAATTTTATAAATTATTCTTGACAACTTATCTACGTAAAAGGCCATCAGTATCTATAAAAAAAAAATAAGTAAAGCAGAAAAATAAATATTAATATATTTTATGAAAGGTCTTATGATTAATTTAGATACAAAGGGTATGAAAAAAAGATTATTGCCTGTTATGGTCGCCATCATAGTTTATTATTTATTTCCATAGAAACCATTGTGTCATGATGGGCGATAATATTTATTTTTCGTACCCTGTGAGGAGAAGTTTTACTTAAAAAATACTTTTGATAGACAGATAAAATTAATAATTTGGTGCTGGTTTTGATATTCTGTGTTAATTATACATTAAATAATAATGAAAAACAATGCAGTAATCATTACACTCACTCAGTATCAATGGTGGGAAGTTACATTATAATACCAATGATGGGTCTTACCACGTACAACATTGCAAAAACTGTTTTGCGAGGGATAGAACCACTGAGGGGCAAAAAAAATGATGATTTATGTATAGATAAAGTTTATAATGTATCTATAATTAAAAAATCACTTTCTATTAAATATTGCAACTAAAGGAGAAATTATGTATAGCAGCTTAAAAATTTCAAACTAGTAACCATTTTCTTCCAGTTTTCAATACTCAGAATACTCTAAATCTTCCTCTACTTCATCCAACAATATTTCTCTGCCTCGTGGCCTTAGCCTTGGTTTGTCCATTCGAACGACACTCTTTATAGGCCATTATCTTTACAATGCATAACATTACCAAGCTATGAATGTAGGTTGGTAAAAACATGTTTTTATTACTTTTATTTTGAATTCTTATAATAATTAATATATTTACTATAGCCCTAAAGTATAATTTAAAAAAAAAATTGAATTTTTTATTCCATTTAAGATTTTATAAAACATTTTTATATGATGTTTTTAAGTGTTAATTTAAACAATATGTATGAATAAAATAATTATGTTTTTTTAATTTATGGATTAATCTACATTTCAGATAGTCCAAATTCAAGGCACGTAAAGACTACTTACTTTGTTCACCAAGATATGCATGGTGTCGCCTAGTTGCAGTGGCGTCAAAATAGTATTAAAATAGTCGTTCAAACATTACCTCCAAAAAAATGTACAAATGAAATCCACCCCCTGCCCTATACCCCTTTTAATATTCTTCTATTCACAACAACACCCATTTTTATATATTTCTTTACAAATTATTTAAATATAAACTATAAAAATTAATAATATACATAAGGATGTTGCACTATTCTAGTAATAATAATATAAGTTACTTATAATTAATAATATCATTTCACAAATAAATTATTATTATTACTATAATATAATAAAATAGATAACTTTATAAATTAACTTTAACTTTTAAATAAATCATTTTTATTTATTTTAATGATAATCACATAGTAAAATATTCAATAAAAAACAAATCAACAAAAAATAATTAGGATATTTAGTATTAAAATTTTTTATCTAAAACTAGTTTTTGTTTCAAGTTCTCTATTATTGTTTCTGCGTCTAATTGTATATCGGCTTCACAGGTGATACGCATTAGATCTTGCAATCTATCTTCCTACATTGTGCTTCTTAAGCTTGTTTTTATTAATTTTAATTTAGAAAAAGATCTCTCTGGGGAACAGCTTGATACTGGAATGGTCACTCCAATTTGTATAAGCATAAATAAACTTGGGAAAATTATAGACTTCAGACTGGCTATACGAAAATCTCGAAAAACTCACATTAAACTTGAGGAATTTTGCCACCTTTTTAGTTGTTGATGTAATATTGTCGCTGTTTGAATCTTTAGAGGTCCAACTTGAGTTTTCATAACTTAAATTTGGATGCAGATACAATGGCAAAGTTTCATTAAAAGTGAAATCACACTTAATGAACTGTTCATACTCCCTACGGATATCTTGTAACTTTAATAATTAGTTATATACCAAGCAAACAGTCCTAAATACATTTATTAGAATGGTTTTAGGATTTTTTTTTAATTCCTTTTTATGTCTGCTTGATTATAATGCAAAATCTTTCATTACTTTAATAGTTTTATTTATAAATCTTTGATTAATTTTGTTTTAAGAATAATTCCAATGCTACAAAATAAGTATTTATCTTAAATTTTTGAATAGGATTCTGTTCAACTTCATCATAGCATAATTCCCTAGCCATTCTTCTAATTAAGCGTTTTCTTGCTATCCTTAATGGCTCAAATTCTTCATTCTCATATTTACTATCAAATTCTTTAGCTAATATCAAAATATTTTTGAATGGTTCTTCAGTTCTCAGTGCTACTTTTGTTTCTTTAGCACTATCAACTAAATTCATTACTACTAAAATATCTATATCACAGGCTTATAATGTGCAGATTAATGGTTCAAGTATTTTTTTTTTAAAACTAAGAGCTGTTATTAAAAATCAATAAGAAGTCAAATAGTTAAGCAGTCCATTACAATCAGGACCAAGTTTGAAACCTGATCCTCTGTCTCTATTTCTTACTTCTTCTATCATTTGGTAAACTGCATTGTAAATATCAAGTACTTTATTTAAGCCATATGCATGTAACATCCAACGAAAAGTTTTTACATGTTTCACAGATCTTATTTGTGTTTTTGGATAGAGTTCTAAAAGTGTTTCTCTAAAAAAAGCTGACTGTGCTTTACTTCCAGTAATAAAAGTAAATATTTTAAAAGTCTGAATAGATCAACCGCATTTTAACAAGATCTCACTGCCTGACTTTCTATTAGGTTTAGCCTATGAGCAAAACACCAAATAATTAGGGCTTGAGGATTTTGTTCAAGAGTATTTTAGTTTGAAGCTCATGGTATTGCCTACTTACGTATCAAGATTATGACGAGTAAAAACATTTTAAAAAATAACTCAGAAAAATGAACTCTGGTAGTGTATCTAGTTTCTCTTAATGCTAATGATCTTTCCATAACTGTGCCATTATTTTCATTAACATACATTATGATAAAAAAACCTGTTCCTTAAGGGATGTATCAAAGGCAGAATCGAGTAAAACACTGAATATTCTTGATGTCATAATATCAGATAGAATAATTTGTGATACATATTCTGAAACAGATTCATTCAAAAGATTCTGACGATCCTAGGAAATAAAAGATATTTCTTTGCGTCCTTTTACTTTGAGTGTTGAAACGCAAGTGCAGGTGAATGTTCAGATAACAGAAGTCTTACCTAGTCTTTAAAATTACCTTTGAGTTTATCAGTCCAAAGTTCTCTATGCCCTTTAAAAGACAAACAATGGCATTCCAAAAACACTGATGTCTATCAGTTACTTCACAATTTTCCTATTGAGGGCTACACTTAGTTTGTGGTTTATTTCTAAGGATGGAATTAAGAGTAAAACAAATTCCCTTAATTTCATTTTTAATGAAGCTTCAATATGTGCATTAGTTGTTTCATGGTTAATTATTGAAATGCCTGCATTCTTCCAGTGTGAAAATTCATCTTTTACCCAAGCTTGAATGGTTTTTCTTCCAAATAAAATACACTCTGAGCAAAATACCTTATTTAGCGATGGTGATCAAGTTAACCAGTTTTTTTTTGTTTTAGTTCCATCTGTGTGAGTTCTGTAGTACCATCCTGCATGAGAATTACGTCCTTCTTTGTCTTTTAAAAATTCTTTATTTGGTAGAACATCACATGTTGCCCTGACATGGTCCTCATTCCACAATCATGATTATAATTTCTGATGCAAAATGTTTAATTTTTGCTAGTAGAAATTAATCATTTCCCCAAGTAAAGGCTAAAAATAAAAAATCTTCAGAAATATTCACCTATAACAAATTTACGTATACATTATAATTATTATGTCTTCTTAACAAATTAGTGCACAAAAAAATTGCTTCATTTTGATGTTAACATTTTCTGAATCAAAATATCATAACTATTATATAATTATGAGTTTAATATATCTAGCGCATAAGTAAATAAGTAAAACAAATTTATAAAAATGCCAGAATCTTTTCTTTTAAAAAATAATATTTCATAAAAAAAACTAATTTAATAACAAATTAAAACAATTATTTTCTCTATATATAAAAAAATATAACTTTAATTAAAAGAAAAAATTATAAAGAAAATGTTCCACCATTGATATTGATATAATATTATAATAGGTACTTACAATACTATAATAATAGTTTAAAAATTGTTTAATTTAAATATGTAATATGTAATCAAAATTCAAGGTTTAAAAATATATCTAGAATAATTTTTATATTAATCTTACACAACCTCCTATTTACTTACTGCAATACTACTACTGCTATGCATTTATAAAAAATAAAAACAGTTAATAATAATAATTATGTATAATATTATTTTTTTTATGATGATACAATTATGATATTATTTTTAATCATAAGTATAATTGTTTACCACCAAAATATCTAATGGAGTAGGATCACAATTTTCCAAACAATAATTTATCCTTTTCTATAATTGTGGCCTCTAAATACTCAATATGTGTATACTGTATATTCAACATTTCCCTTCGCACCTGTACGGTCTTCATGAAATGCAAACAATTTTTTGTCATTCATGGATTTATAGAATTTATATCGTGAGTTTAATTTTAAAACAATGAATAAAAATTCCTTTTTTTAACACATCAAATGTATAACAGGAAATTATCACTAAAAACATATATTATCTGTAACTTTTTGTATTTTTTTTAATACATTTTTAATTCAGTCATATATTTTAAAATTATAAGTAAATAAACAATTTTTATAATCGGTAGTAGCAGTGTCATTTAGTAAATTCTCACCTACTGATGGTGTTTATCAAAATCAAGATTCTTTGTTTTTAGTTTTTTATAAGAAAAAAATTACTTAATATTACCACAACGATTCCTTTAGATTTTATTTTCTGTGCAAGTCACTTTTATCGAAAATAAAAGTTCACTCTTGGTTAAAGGTGATTCCAATTTACTTAGTTCAAATTATTTCTTAAATGATTAAAAATATTACATTTCAAAAATACTGAAGAGTGCAACAATAATTGCGTCAATTGCAGTTAGAACATAGAGAGGTTAGGTTAGGTTACAATACTTATGCCGTATGTTCAGCTTGTGAAATGTTGGAAAAGCCTGTTCTCTGTACATCAGTACATCCGTAGAATGTACTAAATATAATATCTGAATAGACATTTTTTTTTTTAATATTTAAAAATGATAAACTATATCAATAAAATAAACTATTAGAATTCACAATAGTACATGATGTCAATTATTACAACAATATTATTGTTATTTATGCTGTACACACTACACACTACACACTTCCTCCTGCCTACAATTGGTTATTCTTATTTCTTATTGTTTATCATCAGGGCTCGTAAGTTCATGCGCTAAAAAATGCATAAATTAGCATGCATTCATAAACTAAACATTAGTAAAATATGCACTAAAAATTCAGAAATAAATATGCATTTATATACACTTATAATATGCATGATATAAAAAAAATCATAGGCGAATTTCAAAATAATAAAATATACCCATTTTTATCCGAATTTAATTTTTTTTAATTTTTATACATTTTATAACACTCAAAAACCTAACTTTACATGTCAATGCTCTGTAGTTATTATTATTATTATTATTATTATTAAATCTATGGTATACTATATACAGGGTGATTCAAAATTTATGTTACAGCCATTTTAACATATAAATATTCAAATTAGTGAAAAATGTATGGTACAAAAGTTTTTTGATTTAGAAACATCTATTATGATTTCCCAATTTTGTAATTGTTAACAACATTTTAGGGGGGTTTTGGGGGGTCAACT